ACTACTGAGTATTGAAATTTGAATGTCTTATACATGTACTTGCTATCCAGATACAAGAACTACTATTATCAGAATAACTACAGATTTCTTTGTTTACAGCTAAGGACTTTGAAATCTCTGTGTCTCGTTCAAGAAAAGTTTAAACAAATTGAAATGAGAGAGGCAACTCTAGAAAAACTATCGGTTGTAAAAGAACAGTATAACTTGGATTCTGATGATGATTTAAGTGGTGTTGATGACACAGAAACTCAAGAAAGCAGTGAGAATGTAGAAAGTGAAGATTTAGAATTATCAGATTCAGGTAGGATTATCAAGAAAACAAGTGAGAATGTAGAATTATCAGATTCAAGTAGAATTATCTAGATAGCAGCGAGAATGTTGAAAATGAAAATTTAGAATTATCGGATTTTGGTGGGATTTTCCAAGAAAGCAGTGAGAATGTAGAAAGTGAGAATATAGAATTATCACATTCAGGTAGGATTATCTAGATAGCAGTGAAAGAGTAGAAAATGAAGATTTTGGTGGGATTATGGTATTAAAAAAGCAATGAGAATATAGAGAGTGTAGATTATAGAATTATTGAATAGATGGAGAAAAAGAGTGTTGTTGCTAGGGGTTACGGATGATTTCTGCAATCCTGAATACTCAGTCTGGTCTGTTCATGTTGATGTTAGGGAGAGGCTTGGAAACCATATTTGATATGACATGACAAATATGACACTTTAAAAAGAATTGCTAAGATGTGGTGGAATTATTTTTCTTGATCTATTTTTTCCTTCATATTTGTATTCTGTAGACGATTCTGATACAGATGAATATGGACTGCGAAAAGGAAAAGATGTGGTACCAAGGTATGTCACCATATTTTTCTGAAAGATCGCCCTGGGTTTTTTTAGAGGGAGGGCAGATAAAGCAAATTCCTGATTACATTTTACATTTTTATAATTTTTGATAATTTGTGTTTAAGAATCAAAATTAGAAATTCTTATGAATTACGACATTTAATTTGAAAAATGTTTATATGCTTACAAAATTACGAACGAATAAAATAGCTGATTACATTTTAAACCTTTCCCATATATACGAATTTACGTTTTTTATTTATTTAAATTACATTTTTGCGAAAATAAAAACAATTGATTACAGCTTATGAAAATAAGCCGAACCAAAACATTGCCGAAGGTGATGTCATACAATCCTTGCTTAAGGTTGCAACATATATCAATGATTTCGAAAATAAAACATGAATTTTAATCAAACATTTCCTCAGTCAACACAGATTAGAAAGCATCGCTCTGACAGGTTGAATGACTTTGGCGCCATTTTGTTCATCGCTACCATATATGAATGCCATGAGTTACCCAATGTGTGAGTTCACGCCTTTGATTGTGTAGCTGTTTCACCCTGTGTCAGTACAATCTTTGCCAGACCATCAAATCTTTCAGTTAATTTTAAATTGCTGATTGTGGCTAAATTTTTGGAGGGGAAACAAAACATATCTAGTTGTTTTGAATGTCCATATTGAACGTATTACTGAGATGTCACAGCATTATTTTTTGGCAGAATTGCATACTTTTTCCAAAGCACCATGGACTGACATTGTTGTTAAATTGTCGCTTAAGCCAGTCAATGGCGATTTGTATCCTATAGATTCCTGCCCTTGAAGAAACAATTATTTTTTTCTATTGCATAATTTTTTAGATATGTATTTGTTTTTTTACGGCACCAAAAGATTGCCTAGGTGCTGTCTTTTGCAGTGAGCTATCTTCTAGATAAATACATATACAATGAAATATCTCACACTTCAGTAACACTGGCATGTAGATGACTAATTTCACATGAAAGTAATGCAAATTTCTTAATGTGACTCAGCGAAGTGTTTGCTTACTGTTTTTTGTGTCAAGTAGATATTCAATTTATTAAATGAGATAATATTGAGTGAGTTTGACAATTGCTTTATTGTACTTGTTTTCTAGTGGAATAAACGTAATGAGAAAGGAGAGACACCTTTGCACAGGGCAGCTATTGATGGTAATTTTAACATGGTGATAAAATTAGTAGAACAGGTGAGCTATTAATTACAAATATGGAAACATTCCCATTTCACTGCCAACCATGAGTGCTGTTCTAAATTTCAATGTAATGACTTGCAAAACATATCTAGCTATCTTATATATATATGAACAATATTTAATTAAATTGTGTAAACCTTGTAAAGATCACCCGTTAACTCATGATCTGTGGAACCAGAGCTCAGATCCTCCCAAATGTGTTGACTCCTACACTGGGTGGTTATGCTAAAGAATCAATCAGAAGACTGAAGCCAAATTTACAGCAACTTTGGGAGAATCTTAGTTAAAGTTCAAATGTGTTTGTGTGAAAATCTTACTTAATTTGTATTTTTCATTTCAGGGTCATCCAGTGAATTGTCGTGATTATTGCGGTTGGTTACCGCTACACGAAGCATGTAATTTTGGATACTGTGAAATCGTTTGCTATCTCTTAGACCATGGTGCATATATTAACGATCGTGGCGGTGAAGGTTGCCAAGGTGTTACACCGCTACATGATGCAATCAACTGTGGCAATATGGATGTTGCTAAATTACTCATTGAAAAAGGAGCAAATGTTTTGGCTAAAGATGATGAAGTGAGTGACAGATATATATTTATATGCCAGGGTTCGAGATTAGCGCTGGTCATGCATTATATGACCTCTGGGGGTTATGCTTTGGATACAAATTAAATTGTCAATGGTCCACGTTGACCATCAGTTTTATTTTTTTTCAAATGTAATATTTACCCATTGTCCGCATTGTGACGCAACGTTTTCGTGTTTCCCGTAGAATATCCTATGTAACAGTAATCCTGTCTCAAAATAGATTATTTGCATATTCATTAGTTAAAAAGTCATTAAGTGTCTGACATCAAAGCTGGTCTGTGCTTGATTTATCATAACACACTTTAGGAAACTATTATGATGAGTACATTCCTCAAATTTGGAAAAGCAATGAAAAAAGTTGTAAGAAAGTTACTATTGAACAGAATGGACCACATCATGCTGATTCAGATACTGCATAGACAACCAATGTTTTAC